CCCATTTGATCATGATGGATGATCTTTTTGATGTATTTTTGAATTTGGTTTGCTAATATTTTTTGAGTATTTTTACATCTATGTTTATCAGGGATATTAGTCTGTAATTTTCTTTTCTGCTGTGTCTTTGCCTGGTTTTGGTATTAGAGTGATGCTGGCTTCATAAAATGAGTTTGGAAGTATTCCTTCCTCTCCTAATTTTTGGAAAACGTTAAGGAGGATGGGTATTAGGTCTTCACTAAATGTTTGATAAAATTCAGTGGTGAAGCCATCTGGTGCAGGGATTTTGTTCTTAGGTAGTTTTTGATTACCAGTTCAATATTGTTGCTGGTAATTGGTCTATTCAGATTTTCTGTTTCTTCCTGGGTCAGTCATGGAAGGTTGTATTTTTCTAGAAATTTGTCCATTTCTTTTATGCTATCCAGTTTGTTAGCATATAATTTTTCATAGTATTCTCTAATAATTCTTTGTATTTTTCTGTGGTGTCTATAGTGATTTTTCTGTTCTCATTTCTGATTCTGTTTATGTGTGTAGACTCTCTTTTTTTCTTGATAAGTCTGGATAAGGGTTTATCTATTTTGTTACTTTCTCAAAGAACCAGCTCCTTGTTTCATTGATTCTTCCTATTGTTTTATTCTTCTTAATTTTATTAATTTCTGCTCTGATCTTTATTATTTATGATCTCTGCACTTTCTTTTAGTGGACTGAGATCGAAGCAGTCCTCGAGGCTCTGTTTTCTTTAGGTTTCCTGGCCTCCCTGTCTCAGCCATTACAGAGGAGGAAGAGGGTGTCAGAATTCTCCTTGTGTTCCCTCCCTGAGGAATCCAGAAGAGCAAGGATAGCCCCACGGTGGCTAATAAGACCTTTAAAGTCTGGGGAACAGAAAAGGGGGTCTCTCTTTTGTTCTCACATCTTAGATAGCTATTTTCTCTTGACATCTCCTTTGTGACATAACTTTTATCTGCAGTCCTTGGATGACTACCTTGGATGACTGTCCCCTATATTCCTCAGCACACTAGTCTTATAAGATGCTTCTCAGGAAAGTTTTCTTTGGTCAAATAAGTGAAGCCAACGCTGTCTACTGGGTCCCTCCTTTGGGCATTGGGAATGACTATGAGTTTATTAAAGGCTTTGGGAAGCTCTTCAGATGTCTATTTTTAATCCAGCATTTTCCAGATCAAGTGAATAAAGAACCTTCCCACTTCTCCCTCCATTATTTGACAAATATCTATTAACACCCACCCCACAACTGGTGTCCCAAGGAACACAGTTTGGGAAACATTCTTTGTTACTGACCATATACACCTTTTGCAAATTGCCTTCAAATGCCATTAATGTGTTCATTCATTTATTTAAAGATTGTTGGTCATCCGCCATGCTACGTATTAAGGCTACAAAGATTACTTGTCCCAGCAGCACTCAGGCTAGCAGGAAGACAGATGAGTCAGATTGTGTTGAGGTATGAGAGGTGCTGCGGATATGATGGAACCCAGTGATTAATTATAACATGAGTTGTGATCATCTTCACAGATCAGGCAATATCTCACTAAGCCTAGCATAGAAGACTGGGTCATTTACATCCTTGCAGTATCAGGAGCTTATAAGAAAGGCAGAATCTCAGGCTCCACCTTAGAACCACCAACTCAGAACCTGCACTTTAACAAGATCCCCAGGTGAACTTTATGCACATTACTGTTTAGACACTCTCAAAATAAACACACTTCCTGACAAGAATGTAAACAGAACCACAACATATTTCTGTGTGGTGACTTTGCCAAAGGCTGACCTAGTGGTGGCCAGGCCAGGCCAGGCAGACAGAATAGAAAGGGAAGACTGGTAGAAGCTACAAGTGTCTTCTCTCCTTTCCTTGCCCTCACCTAACAATAACTGCTTAACCAGGAAAGGCTACAGGTATGTCATCAGAGAGCAAGGAAAGGTAAGGAGGCCATCACTGTTGTCCTTCATGCCTAGGTCTGCCACCACTGGGTAGCATAATGGGTATGGCTGGGAAGAGGTGAATGAGCAGGGTTCAGAGGGGAAGGGGATATTACCTGTTACCCTCCCAGAGACATCACCTCTGCACCAGCCTGGGTAAATGGCCAGCCTCAGAGTCCAGGGCTTTGTACAACTTTCAGCTTCTTTCTCTTGATCCTTAACACTGGTTGAGGGAAGAGTACAGGGAGGGTTCATGGCAGCCTACCTACCAGCCAGCAGTGAAGTCAGGACCAGGACACCTCGAGGCCAAGCAGGTGGTCTGGTTTTGCAATCTCTTCCCCTCCCAATAGGTGACATCCCAGTCTGGGCCTGGGCCTGGGCACGGGTCCATGAGTGGGCCGCTCACAGGCTACAGTGAAATTGCAAGTAGGCAGGGCCTCAGCCAGAGACCTTGGAGAGGTCCCAGGGAGGTCTCTTCCCACAGACTTGATTTGTGATGGGTGGAGAGAGACTAGCCCAGTCAGGGTAACTAAGGTGAAGGAAACCAAAAACCACAATATCAATAACTACAATGAAGGGTAGCCAAATAGGCCACCCCAAAATATACTGCTTTGGTATATTGATTACTTTGAGCTGTGGGCACTTGAAACACAGCACATGCAGAGAAGGTGTTCTTTGAATTCCCCTTGTCTGCCTAAAAATAGATCCTCCAGAAGGAACTCATTTGGGGGACTTGGTGAAGGGGGGAGCCTAGTAAACATAATGTCCTTCATGTAATTGTAGATTAATGATACCAAAATAAAAAAATTAAATTAAATTAAATTAAAAATTTAAAAAAAAGGAACTCATTTGTCATAGATCCCGTTCCCAAAGGTGTCACCCACAGAGGGGGCTGACTCTTATCACAGGAAAGGAGACTAGAAGTTGACACGACACCCAGGCAAACTTTGTCACAAACTATTATATCCCCATCTATTTTTCTAAGGGCCTATTTAGCTTTCCTAAAAACCATTTCTGATCCCCTAAGAGGCCTACATTCCCCCTTCCCTTTCCTTATTAAGATGGTATTTAATCCTGAATTCTAAGCCAGGAAGTCATTCATTTTTCCCTGGGTATCTCCCAAGTATGCATGAGGTACACATGTTAATAAGCTGTGGTTTGTTTTTCTCTTGTTAAACTGTCTTCTATTACAGGGATCTCAGCTAAGAACTCAGGAGGGTAAAGAGAATGTCATTTATTCTCCCTTACAACAGCCCAACAAAACAAAATATGGAAATACCAACACTGCCTTTCAGCATTATTTCCCTGATCCTGAATGTAGAAGAAAATCTTATGTGTGATGCACCCCCCAGGAGGGGGTGGCTGTCTGTGTCCTCCAGAGGGCAGGAACAGATGAGGTGCATACCCAATGCCTGAATCCACCATGATAAAGACTTTTAGCTATTCTACCTAAATTCCCCAAAGGTAAGGCAGGTCAAGAATCAGGTAGACAGAGATAGAATTAGGGAGGAAACCTTTTAAGTAGAAGGAAGGGCCAATCCAAAGGCCCAAAAGCAGGACCACACTCACCTGGTCGGAAGAGGGACATCAACTTGTATGTCTCCATCTAGTCCTGATTAAGCTGGCCCTATTGTGTTTCTACTCTCCCAGGCACCATTCATACCTTGTGTATGTCACTGGTGGTAAAGTCCCATGTTTGTTTCCCAAGGACAGGGCTAGTTCTGACTCAACTTATTTTCCAGGAGCCCACTACAGGTGGCCCAACCTAACCCTGACAGAAAGACTAAGAACTCCCTATATCTCCACAGTAGGTGCTCAGGACAACTGGATCCATTGCAGCAACCCCACTCCTATAGGTAGATTTCATCACAAGGGTCCCCACCTCACCACCTCCTCCTCTTTTTGGAAGAAGAAGCTAACTTAGAGAGTTGTTTGCTGAGGTTTCTGACACTAATCAGGCATATCTAGAGATAGATTCCTTGGCTGGGACTTGCCAGGGTCAGACTGGTTTTTTCCTGAAAACATGAGCAGAGCATGATGTATGTGTTCTCTTAAAAAAACAAAACTCTGGCTGCAAAAGCAATTCATGCTCATTGTAGAAAACCCAGAAAATGAAGAAAAATATAAAGGAACAAAATAAGTATCACTCCTAATCCCACCACCTAAAGGCACCCTCTTTGAACATTTCAGTGAATTCCTGACAAGTGTTTGGTTTTTTTTCTATGCATACACATGTACATATTTAACATAGTTGAGATCATGACGACTGTAAATTCATGATTTACCTTTTCACTTGGCAGTACACTCTAAGCTCTTACTGATTAAATTTTGCTGTACTCATCATTAATAGTCCATCCCTTGGTGAAGGGGGGAGCCTAGTAAACAAATGTCTTTCATGTAATTATAGATTAATGATACCAAAAAAAAAATAGTCCATCCTACCCTTCTATACTTTGGTTAGCCATGTCCCTGTAGGGGTCATAGATTTATATCACACTTCAATGCGGACTACACAGAAAAGCCTGTAATTTCTGTGTTCTTTGTCTCTAGCTAATCTAGTCTCATGCACAACTTCTCAGTCGCTTTATAGCACAAATTAACAGTGGGTCTCACTAAAGAATAATCTGAAGAAATAATTTAGATTGCCTGCCTTTAAGGCTTTTATCTTTCTACATGATCCTGTTCCACATGTCAGACATTTCAGTCTTTATCTTTGCATCCCTTCCATAACAAATTCTAACCCCTGCTCCTCCCACCTTGCCATGGATGCTGAACCAGCCACATTACTCAATGTGATCACAAAGAGTTTAATGAAGGGACTATTTACAAAGGTGCCAGCAAGGCTAAGGTAACAAACAAGAAATGTCAAAGCAGCCAGGATTAGAGATGTGGGAGGGCACTACCTACCACGCCAGTCCTATAGGAGCAACAGCAAAAAGGGTAGCTGTGGGAGAGACTGCCCACCAGGAATTTAGGTGGAGCAATTGTCTCCTGTGGTCTGGCCTAGAGGGTGCTAGGGGAGTAATCACTTTGACATCTATTTCCACCCTCTGATCTTTTTCTAGTGCCTCCCATTAGTAGAACTGAACTGGAAGACAGAAGAATAAGTATTCTGCAGAGGTCAACCTCCTAGTGCACAGAGCAAGTAGAAAAGGATGGACAAAGGATCTGAAGGGGCAAGTGGAGAATAAACAGCCCACATGATCTGCGCTGACGAGGGAAAAGGCAAAAGAGACAAACACATTAATAATCTTCAAGCCATATCTATTTTAGACTTTTAGTAGTTTCTCATTATCACTCTTATAAAAAACATTGTCTCAAAAGAGGACACCCCTCAAACTCTAAATGTTCTAATGAAATTAATATATAATGGAAGGAAGTGCAGTATCTCTCAGGGTCAGACTGTATTAGTTAAGTCTCTTTTGGTTGTATGTTACAAAACACTTCAACTAGTTTAAACTGAAAGAAAAAGAGAGAGAGAGAGAACATCAATTATCAGGATAATTAGGATACTGGGGAGTCTCCCAAGGCCCAGCGGACTTCAAGAGTATAAGAATGTCAGCTATAATTCAGCAGCTGTTTCCCCTAGGGTTGAGATAGAGCATCCAAGGCAGGGCCCCCTGAGCCCACCTCCGTGGCTGAGATCCAGACCTTTTTGGAGAGGGTGTTCACTGGGTGGCAGAGAAGTCACCACAGTGCTGTGCTGGCAGAACATGCTGGAAATCCACCCTCTAGGGTGCTTGGGACGTTTTCACTGGAGTTACTCCTCTACAAAACCGCCTGTTGGGGAAGTGCCAGGGGAAGCTGCTGGCCTTTGGATGATTGCTGGCCACCATGTCCTGAAGAGATGGATGCAAAAGAAACAATATGTCCTGTAGGAAACTGATACTGGAGAAGTTACCTGCATTGCAGAATCTGGATACTGAAAAAGTTGTCCAGGCCATAGAAGCCAGGTGCCACATGCTACAGGGGCCTGCTGAGCAGAGCACACTGGAATCAGGAAGGAAAATCCCTTCTACAATATCTTTCCAGTTCCCTCTACTGACAAAATTTAACATCTGTCAGCTGGCAAAGGAAAATTTTGACATGGTCCACTACATTTTTGCAGAGCAGACAATGAAGATTGAATTTGGAGTTGAGAGGCAATAGATTGATAACTAGCACAATCCCAACTCTTGTCTCTGGTATGCCCTGAGAAGGGACAATGATGCCAGCTGGTGCCACCCATGGACTGGTCAGTCATCTGTGCTGAGGATGGAGCTGCATTAATGAAAAGAGAAGCAGGGAGCATGGAAAGGTAGGTGCAAGAAAGCAGACTGCTCACCAAGCAGCCTCTGATTTCCAGGGGAGAGAAGGAAGCATTTCAGTCACTGGAGAAATTGCCGGTCAGGATAATTCATCAAGACTCGCCATGGTTTGAAAAAATACCCAAGACTGTCCATTTCCTTTTATTCAAATATGCAGTTCATCAAGAAACCTGATTTTTCTTCCCATATATCCAATATCTGCTGAGGAACAGATCTTGGGTAGTGGGTACACACAGTCGGCTGTTTTGAAAGGGATGTCATCCACTGTGGCCTAATAAATTGGCCTTTGATGGCTGCACCAGCCTTGTGTGGTATTAGTGAAAGTCTGTCACCAAGAGTCTGCTCGTACCTGGAACACTGAGAAAAGCCAAGTTCTGACCCTGAGTTGCTGAAAACCAGGTTTTGGACATGAGGGACTCAATTAGAGTGCTCTCCTAAAGGACCTGTAGACTGCACCCTAGATAATATTGCTGCTAGCCTATTCCTCAAGGAAGAACCCTGCAGAGCACATCATTGGGCATGGATAAGTAGTATTCTATTAATGTCTAACCAACAACCATTCTTTAGCTGCTGGACTTTCAGGCTGTTTCCATTCTTTCACTATTGCATATAACACAGGCATGAAATGTTTGTGATTAGTGTTCTTTTGCTATTGTTTGTTTTTGTATTTCAAATGATTCCTTTAGGATAGATGATCAGAACTGAAAATAAACTGATGTCAAATTACAACCTCTTCTCTTTTAGGTGGGAGAAAAGAGCATAAACATTGTATAGACACTTGAGACCTGCTGCCGAAAGATTTCAGAAATGTACCAATTACAGTCCCACTAGAGACCATTTCAGGACATCCTGGCTCACACAGAGTATTATAGTTTAAAATGTGTGTGTGTGTGTGTATGTGTTTGCACGCATGCACATATGAAATCTTGCTTTCTTTACACTTATTTGGCTAATAGTGGGGTTAGATATTCATGCCCACATTTGTTAATCTCTTGCCCTCTTTTGACAATTGTCTGTTCAGATCCTTCAGAGTTGAGAAGTATTTTATTTCAATCTCTAGGGATTTTGATGTCCCAGTTTCTTCATTCTGCCCTCTTTTGGATGGAGAAGGGCTCTTTTCCCATATCGAAGTCCTTTGGAAATTCTCTTTTGAATTCAAGTTTCTTTGGCATAGGAGGGCTAAGCTGGGTGGCAAAGAGCTTCGATGAGAAACAAGTGTATGGAAGTCTGAAGCACGCAAAACCACGTGAGCTTTCATCCCCAGGTGCATAGTCTTCAAAGGGGAATTTTCACTGGGTGTTTTTCTCCTCTTTGTTTGATTCAATTTGAGTCTCTAAACTATGCTCCTCCTAGGAGCCTAAGCCATATATTTAGACGAAATGTGTCATTTAAAGTGCTTTTTTGAAGTTGTGTGATGAATTATCAGAGCAAGAATCTCTTCACCACCCTCTAAACTGTGTTCCTTCTTTGGCTCAGGGGTAGAAGAAAAACTTTCTCTTCTTTCTTCCCCCAGCCCTCTTGCCTTCTAAGACTGATATAGAGAGCAGGCTCGTCCTGAGAAATTTGCACACAGGTGGTTCGTAGGTGGCAAGCATAAGACGTTGTGTGTGTTGAAGTAAATGTGGTTTGTGTGGGAGTGCAAGAGGTGGCAGCAACTCCTTCATGTGGGGAGTGGGACTTAAATGATGGTATCAAGGAAGCTTTGGGGATGAGGGGCCATTGGTGGTCAGCCTAAATGATGGACGAGGTTTGGTAATATAGTAAAGTAGTCAGCTAAGTTTCTATCAGTTTCCACTCATGTCTCATCTATATCACCAAGAAATCCTGGCTCTGTATGTGGCTGCCAGAGATAGTCATCCATCTATCCATCCATCAATCCATGTACACATGCATAAATGCATGCATCTGACATTTTATTCATTTATTTGTTCATATTTCCAGTGATCCCTCCATCTTTCCATCCTTTCTTACATTAGCTACCAAGGCCCTGCTCTCTGTAGCATGCTGAAAGCACAAATGTCAAGACAAGATTCTGGCTTTCAGAGAGTACACAGTAGTTGTTAGCTGGACAACTTAAAAATAGATAACAATACAGTGCAATGAGTGCACCCTATAGGAGTTTAACATATGCCTGTATATATGTATCTTTTCCCCAAAAGGCCTTACCTGATCACCCAATCTGAAATAGGCTCTTGGTATTATGCTTTTTCATTTCCTTTGGAGTATTTATTACAATGTGTTATTATATACTTAATGGTATGTTTATTTGCTTAGTATGTGTCTCTCTCAGTTAACTGGAAGCTCTATGGGAGTAGGTTCTATGTCTGCTTTGCTTATCATTGAATACTCAACACCTGGGCCATGTCTGGCACAGGGCAGGCCTGCAGTTGACGTTCAATGAATGAATGAATAAATAAAGACTGGTCACACCCAGGAATGATAATTTCTTGCACAAAACCAGCAGTCTCAAAGTGTGATCCTTGGACCAGCAACATCACTTACTGGAAGTGAAAAATTCTTGGTCCCACCTTACAATATTTTTTTTCTTAATTCTTAATTAAGATATTATTGACATACACTCTTATGAAGGTTTCACATGAAAAAACAATATGGTTACTACATTTACCCATATTATCAAGTCCCCACCCATAGCCCAATGCAGTCACTGTCCATCAGTGCAGCAAGATGCCACAGATTCACTATGTGCCTTCTCTGTGCTACACTCTTCTCCCCGTGATCCCCCACCACGTGAACTAAACATAATACCCCTCAATCCCCTTCTCCCTCCCTCCCACCTGCCCTCCCACACACACCCCCTTTGGTAACCACTAGTTCATTCTTGGAGTCTCTGAGTCTGCTGCTATTTTGTTCCTTCAGTTTTGCTTCGTTGTTATACTCCACATCCACCTTACAATCTTATTTGTTTCCCTCTTTTGCAATGTGCCCTGAGTGGTTAGCAAGGGGCTTCCCCAGCTTCAGTGTGGCTCATTTAGTGGCTATTTGGCTGCATTGGAAGCAGATGCCAAAACAACAGTATAGACACATGTAAGAGAAAACACAGCTTAAGATAATGATTCCTAAAATAAATAACAGTCTTTTCCACTAAGATCCTCATGATACAAACCACCGATTTATAAGTCCCCTAGGCTGGGAGTTGGATTACTCAGGGTATTCACTTGCGTTCTCATGTGAAGCAGACTTACCAGGCATGACACACAACATTCTGTTTGGATAAAGGGCACAGGTGCTTTCTTACGGGGAATAGTATTGTCCAAGGCCATTTTATTTTGGAGGACAGCTTTTCTTATTAGAGACATTTCAGTGCTCAGTCACAGCAGGTTTTGTTGGCCATCATTCAAGCCTTGTTGGGTGAATTTAGCAAAGGCTTCTATGTGTGCTCTAACATTCTCCAGACCAATAGAGGGAACAACCTCTCCATTACTTCCTCTGACACTGCCCCAGATCAGAGTCAGAAACTCTGAGATCAGCAGTCCATGTTCAACAAGCCTTCTGGGTAATTCTGACACACACTAGTTTGCCAACACTGTACTAAATCGATAAATGGCCATTCTATTCTACTTTAGACATTTGTAGATTTTAGCACAGAGACAAGAGTCATTATTTCAATATTGGGGAAATACTTAAGGGAGAAGGTGATATTTTCAAGGGTACCTTGAGCTAGATGAGCCAAGGAAAGGCAGTTCAGGTAGAGAGTTGTATACCCACAGGCATGGATAAGCCTGGACTTTGGAGGGATCTAAAAGTTGTTCTGTGAGAGTGTCCTGCGCATGGCAGGGAATAGCCTGAGATGAGGGTTGACATTTAGGCAAGGATCTTGAATGCCAAATTTCAAGCAGGGAGGTATGTCGGGTCCCTTCCCTGTCTCTGACCCGCAGATGAGGGAAGAGATGCAATTGTTCGTCGAAGATCTTAAGGATCAGCCAGGGGACTCAAGGCGTGACCCCACAAGAGTGGTGCCAAAAAGGCATCTCTCATATTTATTGATAAAATGGTTGTTAACAATAATATTGGGGTTTCCATGCACAATCATTAATTAAGTTCAACTCTCAACAGTTTCACTTTCTGAAGGATAACGAACAAATCCTTATGGTGAACGAACACAGAAACTCTTTCTGTCTTGGCTACTGTTTCTGTCTTGACTACAATCATGAACCATAAACAAACCATCAAGGCAAAAGTGCTTATACATATGATTTTCATACTTTATAATATAATTCCATATAATTCCCACATTTCCCCCTTTTTGTTTTTAAAAGGCTTCAAGATAATGATTGTTGTAACTCAAGCGAAAGATCCGTTCTTAATTTTTTAAATATCAACTTAGCTGGACAAAAGCAGCAGAGAATGCCTCATGTAAATGGGGGGACGAGGTTCTAAGCCTCGCCTCAGTTGGCCCCCACCTCCTCACCTGTTGACCCTTTATGACTGTGCCTGTCTTAGGTTGTTCCTCCCATGAGGAATCTTACCCGTCTCTGGCTAACCAGCCATCTCCTGGGGCCACACAGGGAGAGAACGTGTGGAAAAAGGAGGCATTAGGAGTAGACTGATGTTTGTTTTCATACTCTCACTCTTATGTCCAGCCTTAATCATAGAAATCACAAAATACAAAGACTTAGTGCACGGACTTTCATGAGTAACAATGCAAACAAAGAACAATCATTTTTTAGACATCACTTCCAGGAAAGTAGCATAAGCATGCATTGGTTTCAACAAACTGGTGACTATATGACGCATCCAGGCTATCAAGACTGGAAGGCAAATACACAAAAGAAACAGGCCTACAATTACTGGCCATATCCAGTGAAACCAAGAAAACCATTTAGGTAATTCAGGCATTTGAGAAAACTTATCAATAATATGATGAATATTGTCTATATGATTGTGAATAGTTTGAGAAAAGTCAGACAAATTAAAACAACACATGCCTGGAAACTGTTCACATCCCATATGTTCTTTTAACAATAGATAAGAGTCTATAGTAGCGCGGTCTTGAAGTACTGCAACTCGTACTTCTCCCAGTTCTTGGTTGAGTTCAGATAAAACAGAAGCAGTCAGATTTGTTGTTTTACTGTATGCACAGGCCATCTTGGATATTTCATTCTGCATTCCTACAACGAGTCCTGGAACTGGTAAGATGAGTGCAGCAGCGACAGCTACAACAATAGGATCCAACAACTTCAAGTTGTCATCGCAATCAGGTGACAGGGCTCGAGAAATCTGTCTGTGCTTATATCCAGGATGGTCTATAAGAGCAGGAAGAATACGTCTTACTCCACAAACACCTTGATAATGTGAAGAAAAGGCTTGATATGTTTTGTTATTGCATAAAAATACCCAGCCATTTGGAAGTCTATATCCAAAAGGCCATTTTACACGAATAGTAGAATTACAGTAAGAAGGAATATGAGTGCAATTAATGCATATACATTCAGAAACTATAGTAGTACTGACAGGTAAGTTCAATTGAAGTTCACAAGTAAGAACTTTAGGAGAGTGAGTAATGTTTATTCCTGAGATATTAGTGAAAACAGAAAAAGGGAGTCCTATACCTATTAAATTTTCCTTTAATAATCCACTAATAGAGGAATCTCTTGCTACACAAAAAGATGACTTGTTCAGTCTTCGACTTGCAAGTTGTAGCCACATATTAGGTGAAGAAAATTCTCGCTCTGGAGAGAGTGATATGTCTAAGTAGACATAACTACTTTTATATAATATATCAGGAGATCTTTTTTGATATTTCTCATAAGAATAATTGCCAATATCATTTCTGGTCAAAACTGTTTTATAAATATCATAGCGAGTATTATCTCTTTTAGACTGATCAGTTGCATTATTCCATCCAAGCTTTCCTCCATACTTTTGTCTATATATCTCTTTGCTATCTTTTTTCCATACTATAGGACTTACAGGAGTAGAACAGGTGGATACACACTGAAGGACTACTCCTCGGCCTAAATATGGAGGACTGCTCACACTAGCTGTAATAGTGCAAGCTTGTGCAGTGTGTGCATGTATGAATGTTATCACCAAAATTAGAAGTAGAAACTTCACTATCCAGGAAGCTTCATTCCAGTGATGAAGTTTGTTGGTGGCCATGCTCTGGAGCAGCTCTTTCTGAGGATGTTGATATTGGAAGTTCTTCTTCATATCGTATCTTAATTCTTTTTCTGGGTAGCCAAATCAAGCATTGATTCTCTGTAATGACACAAACAAACCCTTTGCCCCACACTTTGATATGACCTTTATACCACTGTGAAGAACCTATTGGAGACCACCATACAGGAACTGCTGCTGTTTCAGGAAAAGAAACATTGTCAGAAAAATGTATTTCCATAGCTGATCGTCCATCACTTTTGAAAAGATCAAAATTAAGAACATGTAAAGCATGCATTAAGCGTTGATTTGCTGTTAATTTTATATCTGGGAGTAATCCCCCTTTTTGTTTTAGCAAATAATGCTTAAGAGTAAGATGACGACGTTCAATTAGAGCTTGACCTGTAGAATTGTAAGGAATGCCTGTTTTATGAGTAATATTATACAGCTGAAAAAATCTCTTTAGCGTAGAGGAGAGGTAAACTGGAGCATTGTCAGTTTTTATGGTGGCAGGAACGCCTAGTATTGCAAATGCTTGTAAAAGATGAGTGATAACATGATGAGATCGTTCTCCTGGTAAAGCTGTTGCCTATGAAGCAGAAGAACAAGTATCAATAGAGACATGAACATGCTTAAGAGTTCTAAAGTCAGGAACAATAGTAACATCCATTTGCCATAGGGCATTAGGACGTGTTCCCCTGGGAACAGTTCCTGCTTGCAAACGAGGAGAATTAATTTGAGAACAGGTTGGACAAGAATTCAAGATATTGTGAGCTTCAGATGCAGAAAGAGAAAAACGCTTCTGTAAGGTGAAAGAAGGAGCATGAGTCAGGTCGTGATATCGTTCAGCTGGTGAGTAAGTAACTAAAGAAACAAGCTTGTCTACTTTATCGTTATAATATGATAAAGGACTTGGTAAATTAGAATGTGATCATATATGAGTAATGAAGAAGGGATGTAGACATTGACGGATACACACCTGTAATTGAGAAAATAAAGTATTAATAGGAGATTGTACGGTGCCCAATGTTGCAGTTTCTAATAGAGGAACAGAAAAAGCAGCATAAGCAGAGTCAGTAACAATACTGACAGGACTTGGGAAATCTTGCAAAGCTTGCAACACAGCATATAACTCATTTTGTTGTGCAGAAATAAAAGATGTTTGAAAAGTTTTTGACAAACTAGAACAGGTTATATAGGCTGCTTTAAAAGATTTTGTACCATCTGTAAAACAGGTAACAGTATTTAATAATGGATTAGGAGAAGTTTTTTGAGGAAGGATCCATTGATGGTGCTGAAAAAATGAAAATAACTTATTCTTAGGGTAATGACAGTCAATATTTCCTAAATAATCTGAAAGTGCAATTTGCCAATGAGTATTTTCTTGAAATACTTGCACAATATTTTGTTTAGATAAAGAAACAATAATAGAGTGAGGGTCTTGACCAATCATCTGTCTTAGTCTCTGACGTCCTTTACGGATAATGGAGGCTACTTTGTCAATGTAAGGTTGTAAGGAGGGTTTAATTTGATACTGCAGAAATATCCATTCTAACCAACCATCACATTGACAGAGCAATCCTGTAGGAGAATGAGGAGTAAAGTAGATTAATAAAAGTAAGGGTTTGTGTAAGTCAATTTTTGATAATTGAGCTTTTTGAATGTGTTGTTCTATCCACTTGAGTTCTTCCTCAGCTTTTGAGGTTAAGTCTCTAGGACTATTAAGATCTGAGGGTCCTTTTAAAATATTAAAAAGATGTTGTAATTTATAAGTAGGAATTCCTAATAATGGTTGGATCCAATTAATATCTCCTAAGAGCTTTTGAAAATCATTTAAAGTTTTAAGATGATCTCTCCTAATTTGAATTTTCTGAGGAATTATTGAATTTTCTTGAATTTTATTTCCCAAATAATTCATTGGGTATTGTATCTGTATTTTATCTGGTGCTATTTGTAATCCCCATTGTTTTAACTCAGTTTCAGTCTCATTGAGAATATTGGTAAGAGATAAATGCTTAGGCAGGGTTATGAGAATATCATCCACATAATGAATGATATAAGCTGAAGACCATTTTTCACATATAGGCTGAAGAGCTCTGTGCACATAATTTTGACAAATTGTAGGAATTGTGACAAATTGTAGGAATCTTTCTGAAGGTGCCTGCAAATTTAAAGAAGGGACAGTAAAAGCAAACTTTTCCCTGTCCATTATAGCTAAAGGAATTGTAAAAAAAAAAAACAATCTTTAAGATAAATTATAGCCATGTTCCAGTCTTTTGGAACCATAGTTGGAGAAGGGAGGCCTTGTTGCAAAGGTCCCATCGGTTTAAGAACTGCATTAATTTGTCTTAAATCTTGTAAAAGTCTCCAATTTCCTGATTTCTTTTTTATAACAAATACAGGAGAATTCTATGGACTCGAGGAAAATTCTAACCTATCTAGCTGAAGTTGTTCTTGAACTACTGTGTGTAGGGCTGCCAATTTTTCTTTATTGAGGGGCCATTGATCTACCCAAACAGGTGTCTGAGTGGTCTACTGTAATGGTATAGGAGCTGGCAGCCGTTTATCAATGACCTTTAAGAAAAAGACTGAACTGATGAAGGCTCATTAAAAGACAATGTAGTATGCCATTGTTGCATTAAATCTCATCCCCAGAGATTAATTGCTACATCAACAATTAAAGGTTTTAACAAAGCTAATTGTTTTTCAGGACCGAGACAATGCAAGGTAGCTGAACTTTGCCATACTTAAGAAGCTGTACCAATACCTGAAACTTGAATATGCTTCTCTTGTTTGGGCCAATTTTTTGGCCAATATTTAAGAGCAATTACAGATACATCAGCTCCTGTATCTAACAATCCTGTAAAAGACTTGCCTTGAATACTGATCTTGCATTGAGGTCTATCAGATGTAATTTTTGTATTAAGCCATATTTGTTTATCTGTACTTCCAAATCCACCTTGTCCTCTCTCATAAGGTGTTGTTGAAGGTGGGAGATAGGGAAGTAAAAGTAATTGAGCAATTCTTTCTTCTTGAGGTATATATAATTTCTTATCAGATGACACCATTATTTTAATCTCACGCATATAATCTTGATCAATAACTCCAGGTCTTACTATTAATCTTTTTAGAGTCCAGCTACTACGGCCTAAAAGTAATCCTACAGAATTAGCTGGTAAAGGACCAAAAATTCCTGTACTAAGTAATTGAACTTCTTGTGATGGGTGTAAATATACAGATTGAGAAGAGGCAAGATCTACAGCAGCACTTCCTTTAGTTGCAGCTTGTAAATCATGCTATGTTCTTTTACTTGGAGAGGATGCCTCTGTATTATTTTCTAGGGCTTCAGAGGTTGGCCCGATTGGAGGTTTAAAGGCTGAGATTCATTGATAGGATTACCATCTTTATCAAATTTTGAACGACATTCATTAGACCAATGTCTCCCTTTTTTACATTTTGGGCAAACAGATGGCAGTTTATCTTTAAAATTTGACTCTTTTGTTCTCTTCTGCAATCGGCAGTCTTTTTTCATATGCCCTTGTCTGCCACAACCAAAACACTTTAAATTTCTTGCATTTCTCCTTGACTTTCCTTTCATAGCAGTTGCTAGTAAATTAGCTTGATATGTAGGAGAACCTATATCAGCACAGGCTTTGATATAATCTTCCATCCTAGCTCCTGCTGCTTTTAAAGGTCTAAGAACTCTCTGACACTCTATATTTGCATTATCATAGGCTAGCATCTGTAACAACATATCTCTCAACTCTGGATGTGCTACTGTCTTTCTCAAATTATCTTGCAATCTTGCAACAAAGTCAACATAGGACTCATTAAGCCCTTGTTTAAGTTTACTAAATGGCAAGACAGGCTTTCCAGCTGCTTGTATTTTCTCCCAGGCTTTTAAGCAACACAAACGTACTTGTGTTACTGCTATGTCTTCATATCTAACTTGTCTCTCTATCTGCAGCCAGTCTCCTTGTCCTGCTAGTTGTTCAGCAGTTATAAGAATTGGAGGATTGGCATGCTGACTTCTCAAAGCTTGTGCTTTTGCTTCCTCATACCACCAGGTTTTAAATTGTAAAAACTCAGAAGAGTCCAGACAAGTACGAGCTAACAAATCCCAATCATGAGGAATCATCCTTTCCTGTTCTGCTAACCCCCTCAAGAGACCCACAACATATGGAGAATTAGTACCATATGAAGAAATAGCCTGTTTAAAGTCTTTTAATGTCTTTAGGTGTATAAAGTGCTTTGACTCCTCCTTGTGGAAAATCAGGATCTTCACCTGGCCCAAAAGGAGTTAAACTAACTGGTGCTATTAAGGGTGTCAGATAAGCATCTCTATCACCCTCCCTCTGAGCTTTACGTATTCCTGCCGCGCAGGCAGACGTTGCAGGAACAGGGACTGGGGATTTTTTATGATGAGAGGAGCGAACAGAACTCTCATTCTCGGTCTCTGAAGAAGAGGAAGAGGAGGATGAAGAGGAGTTAGGTAGATGTGGGGATGGAGATCGCCTACTTGATCTTTCCACATCATCTAAGAGCTCTCTCGCACTCTTGTGTGTCTGACTTAGTTTCAGACAGTGGGGGAGTCTGCAAAGGCTGCAAGGCGAGAGTGATCAAATTACATAAAGACCAGACAGGCACAGGGATGACATTTCCCTGCCTGGGAGCCTTTTTAAAATCTCTTAAAACATTATCCCAATCAGCTTGCTTAAGTGTCCCTTGTGGTGGTAGCCAATAACAATATTTTTTAATATACTTATAGAGTTGGGCAAAATCTTTTTTAGAAGTTTTCACTCCTGATGTTTTTAGGAGGGCACGGAGTAATTTTAAATAATCCTCCGGTTAAATTGCTTTAGTTTCTGTTTGGCCCATTTTAGTGTCCCTGACGTCTCGATCCTGTTCCCTACGTACGCTTTCCCGGGAATCTTACTGGATTGACGATCTTTGGAGCCTCCCCGCCTTAGAATTGCAAGTGCCGCCGAGCAGAGGTTCTCCGCCCTTAGTTTTGACCGTCTTTCAGGTCCCTGTTCCGGCGCCACTTGTCGGGTCCCTTCCCTGTCTCTGACCCGCAGATGAGGGAAGAGATGCAATTGTTA